AACATACATATACAGATACATATACATATGCATATACATAAAACATGTACATGTACATACATGCGTACATATACACATGCACATACATATACACATACACTTACATTTACAGATACATATGCGTGTACGTATGCATATACACACATATATATATATACATATATATATATATATATATACAACTTGTACATGTACACATACGTATACGTTTATGCCTGCACACGCATGCGCACATGCCCCTACAGATACACGTGCACATACGCATGCGCAAACACATACACATACTTATGCGCATACACATACATATACATAGGGTCTAGGTGTTCATTGTTCAGGGTTGAGGAAACCACCACACCCCATTTGGAAAGGGCTGGTCTAGTCCGGCTTAGGCTACAGGCTTCAGGATGTAATGTTCTCCTTTCAGGACATCGCTGCCTATGCCAGAAAGGCGACAAAGCTGGCAAAAGGCTTCAACCTTGTCTGGTCCCTTTTCGCGGTTTTTTCAGCAAAAGGACTCCGCGATCTGGGAGTTTCAGGGTTTATACCCTATGATTCAGGGGTCATGACGTGTTGTTTCGTTGGGTTTGAGGCCGCAGGTAGAGTTTGCAGAACAGGTTTCGGGTTTAGGGCTTGGGGCCTAAACCCTAAACCCCTAAACCCTAAACCCTAAAACCTTAAGCCTTAAACCCTAAATACCCTAAACCCCAAAGCCGGCGCAGTGCTCAGGTGAAAAAGCTGTTCCAGTCCATGGATGCCAGTGGAGATGGTAGCTCAGATTTCCTTCAGACTTCCGGTTCAGGGTTTAGGGTTTCGGGTAACTTGAAACCCGTAAACCACTGAGACAAGGAGATCAAAAAGACACTAAGCCCTAAACCCTACACTCTGAACCCTAGCAAACTCCCAAGCCGAAGCCCCTGAACTCCACAGTCTTGTGTATGCCCGAGCACCAAGGGAGATGGGATGCAACACCTTGAAGTCCAGCACTCCATGGCCTTAAAGCCCAGAGATGCTTCGGGAGTCATGCGTGCCTCAAGAGAGGCAGGCCAACCCTTGACCAAATGCTTTTGGGCAGCCTAAACCCTAAGCCCTAAACCCCTACCCCCTAAACCCTAAACCCTAAACCCTAAACCCTAAACCCTAAGCCCGAAGCCCGAAGCCCTACCCCACCTGAACCGTGTCCCAGGTTCCATAAGCCTTGACGAGTTCTCGAAGCTCGTGACCTCACCCAAGTTGAAGCGCCCCGGCTTTTGGCGCCGTTTCAGGATTAGCGAAGTTCGCTGGGGCTTTCGGCCTAAACCCTAGACAGTAAACCACTTAGGTTTTTAGCTATGTGGTTTGTTGAGAGCTTTGGCGCTTTCTATTGCCCAGGAGTTTGCGAATTTCGGGTTCCTGATTTCGGATACTAAGTCTTTCGCGTGCAGGGTTGTGGTCTTCTAAGGGTCGCGGACATAGAGTCTTGGATTTTAGGGTTTATAGTGGTTGGGCCTGAAGAAGTACCAGTACGACCCCTTCGCGTTCACTAATATCAGGATAGTATATTACCACACCTTGTAGCAAATTATACTGTAGGATAGTATGCCATAGTCTAGTATAGTAAATTTAGGGTTTAGGGTTTAGGGTTTAGGGTTTAGGGTTTAGGGTATAGTAGTTCACCCCAAATCCGACTTTAAATTCCAAGGCCAAAGGCCCCTATCTTAGTTGAAAGGTTGGGAGGCAGAGGGCTGTCTGCACGACATGCAGGCCAGGGCTGTCTGTATAACCCTAAGCCGCCCTAGAGTTTGACGGCTTAGGGTTTAGGGTTAAACCCTAGACCTCTAAGCCCCAAACGCAGAAAGACTTCAAAAGACTAAAACCCCACAGCTCTGAAGCCCCAAACCTCTCAAACCTTGAAGCCGTAAACCTCTCAAACTCTGAAGCCTTCAAACCTCGAGCCCTAAAACCTGAACCTTAAGAAGCCTCTCAAGCATTGAAGCTCTAGACCCTGAACCCTAAAACCTTTAAAACTCTGAACCCTATGAAGTCTCACAGACCCTGAAGCCCCTCTCAAACCCTGCACCTTTCAACCCTGAACCTTAAAACCCTTCAAAAATACACTTAAAAAAACACCCTCAAAATTTCTGAAGCCCCAAAACCCCGAACCCCAAAGCCCCAAGCCCTGAAACCTCTGGAACCCTGAAGCCCCAACACCCTAAACCCCAAAACCTGAACCCAAAAACCCAAACCCTGAGGTTTAGGGTTTAGGGTTTAGGGTTTAGGGTTTGGGTTTAGGGTTTAGGGAGGTTTGAGGGGTTTTAACCTCTCAAACCCTGAAACCTTCAAACCCCAAGAGCCCTGGAGCCTCCTCCCGGAGCCCTCGAAAGCCGAGGTTTTGGATGAGCCAACTGGAGCCCCTTGGTTCAAGCAGAGCCACGGTTTAGGGTTTAGGGTTTAGGGTTTAGGGTCTAGGGTTTAGGGTTTAGGGTTTAGGGTTTAGGGTTGAGGGCCTAGATTTCAGGGTTTAGGGCTTGGAGGTCTAGGATTTAGGATTTAGGACTTACGGTTTCTTCCGCAGCCATGTTGGCTCAAGTAGGTGTCTCGGCTCGAGGTAGTTTTCTGCTTGTTCTTGTCGGCTTTCGCCGTTCTTGCAGATACTGCTATACCAGACCCCAGCTAGTGCCGCACTCGCGCCATTGCTAGCGCCCGTGCTCCACCCCGGTGTGGTCAGGACTTCTCGTGTACTGTGGCTTGTACGCGGGACCCTGAGGGCGGCCTCAAGTACCTTAGAACTGCTCTGAGCAGCGTCGCTGGTGGTCGTGTTCACTAGACCGTACCGTTTTTTATGTAGTACAGTTTTTCGGCTAACTACTTCCGGGTGCAGTATGCTTCTGGACTCTGGTCTTGCCGATCTACGTGGCTTTCAGCTGCTTGCGCCTACGTCGTGTCAATCAGCTCCTTCGTTTTGAACGTGGCTTGTCGGCTGTTTCTGCTTTGACGTAGTGACTCTGCTGCGAAAGTTGCTGCAGTAGGTCCTTCCTTTTTGTACTTCTTTTTGTTCTGGTGAGGCAGTCGAGCATGCGTCGCTTGTGTTCCGGCCTTCTGGCTTTGTAGTGTGTCTTCGCTTTGCTCCCTTGTCGCTCGCGCTTCGGCTCGCTGGGTGGCAGGGCTTCGGGCTCTAAGTTTCGTTTCTGGGGTGTGTTCGCATGGTTCGGGCATGTCCCTTGCTCAGTGGTTTCAGTGCACTTTGGTGCTGATGATTTGAGCGCCAGCGCCCGGTTTTGTCTCACACCTGGCATGTATAGTCTACCAGGCCCTGTACAGTCTTCTGGCCGCCGGTGCGACAGCCGTACCCGCTTTTCGGCCCGCTCTTTCTGCATCTGTCGCTCAGGATTTCCTCAAGCGTTTGTGAGTGACTGAGTGTGTGAGTGAGTTTAGGGTGATACAGCATAACAACAAAAGTAACAATCGCAGCAGTACTACTTGGTAATAAACCGTTATGCTCCCTTTACTAAATTTATCGTAGAATATACCCCGGGACCCTATGCTAGTAATTAAGGCCCCATATTCGCTATACTCTAACTTGGCGGTATAGGGTTGGGTGGCAATGCTCTAGGCTTTTAACTCAGTTGTTGGTCCAGTGGGCCTCCGTCCACGATTAGCTGCATCGAACCATCGATGCGGTCACTTCGTGGAAAAGACGGCAGGCCACCTCCAATCCTGGGCTGATCAACCTGCCAAAGCTGAGTATCGGCATGTGAACACTGCATTGACAGCGAGTTGTCGGCCAGTTTGTGCCAGTTGCATGTGAGGCAGCTCCGTAAGTTGACGGTTGCGAAGGCAAAAGCCCTCCATCTTGACGTTCTTGCCGAAAACAGGTGCGCAAACCTATGGGAGACTCCACTCCTGAAGGGTCTGGCCGCCGCCCTTTCTCTGAAGCTTGATGAAGCAGGCCTCAAAGTCGTCGGACAGCATCTTGAAATCCTCCGAATATTGCCACATCTTGACAACTATCGCGTTTGTCAGTATTGGCTCCACTATTGGCCAAGATACTACGCGAAGTTGCACCAGCCATATGCACGTTGGGGCAGAGTTGGCTCGATGTCGTGGTCATTGCTCGGATAAAGCCTTGCTTGGCACCGAGCAGCGTTTGCTGTATTTCCTTGCACAAACCCACCAAAAAAGACACAGGAGTATTAATGCTTCGGATGCGGCAGGGGCTGGGTAGGTAACCCTTATGTCTTGGGGCTTATATAACCCTTCAATAGTTCAAATGTTAGCCTGTTTTGGTTAGGGTATTCAGCCTCTAAGATACATTACTGGCATGTTCACGTGGGCCTTAATACTTAGACGAGGGTTTTGGGGGCTCCTTAGTATAATTGTCTTCAGTATAGGAATCCTTAGTATACTTGTAGGCACTGAGCCAAAGGCTTTGGGCTGGAGGGCATTGTGTTTCGAAGCTCGTTGGGTTCAGGGTTCAGTATGTTAGCGTCTTGAGGGGCGTAGTTACGGCAAGTTAGAGAATCTTCCGAAGCTTGTCGGCGAGGTTGCCAGTCCCAATCTGCATGTTTTGGATCAGTCTAATAAAACCTTTCCGATTGAGTGTTGTTGCTGTCGGCTGCGGCTGGAGCTGTTGAGAGTCTTGCGTGCAGCGTAGGGCATTGGCTTGTAGCTTTGAATGTTATGTCTGAGTTTTCGCCCGGTCAGCATCGACTTCGGCTTCAGGTGTTGGTTGTGACGGTCGAAAAGCTTACTAGAACAAGGCCCTGAAAAATGGGCCGTTTTTTAGACATTAGCTGAATTAGCTTGTTGCAGGGTGTTTTAGCTGATTGGAGGCTTGTACCGTAATTTTACAGGGACTACAGGTCCAATGTTTCCCATGTGCAATTGCAAGTTCTATTGGTTGAAATTTGCAGTCATGGATGTGGTTTTGTTCTTTCAGACTCCGAGATTGCACGGTAGGCTGCAGACCCCAGGGTGTTGACTTACGGGCCAGGTAATCCAGCTTCAGTACAGAAAACTCAGTCATGTGCCTGAGGCTGGAGTATCATGACTTGATGAGCCTTTTCGAGTTCCTCGATAACGGAGACGGTGAGATAACGCCCCTGAGCTGCATTCAAGACCTCAGATCAGGGTATATAGGAGGATTATTCTGACATCTTTTGGTGGAATCTTGCGCAGGAAAGCCTAATCTGGAACTTGAATCCTGTGGCTTTACCTTGAGTTTCCCCCAACCGATGACCCGGTGTTACGCGTCTCAAGATCGCGTCTATGGATGGGCTTCCTGGCCCATGCTGAAGCACAATTTGAATCAGTTTGCGACTAACAGGTACCCAAAACCCTTTGCAGCAACTCTGCCCTGTTATGTAGAGGCTTGAAGTGCAAAGGTCGCCTTTCTGACCTGCAGTGCTCCAAGTATTGCCGTCATTAGCAACCGCTGCTGTTACTTGACGACGACTACGGAGACGATGATGACAAATACAACGACCACGACGACAGACGATAGATGACGACGAGGAGGATCAGGACGACGACGACATGTGCTGTAGTGGCTGCTATTCCTGCGATTACGATTGATCAACGCGGGGGTTCCTGCTACCCTGATGACAATGAGGATTGCATTTCCTTACGCATAGCTTTGAACTGTGCGTTGTCCGACCGGTAAGCCTGCGCTCTTTCAGTAATTTCGTCGCCGCGGAAAAGCTGCTCGTAAAACCTCGCTGAGCGAGTTTGGGCTTCTCACATGTTGCAAAATGTCCGTGTTTCGTTGACAATGCGTATGCATGGGTTGCTGTGCTGGTGTTACTAGTTATTTGTGCAACGTCTCTTGACATGCAAGCAAGGCTTAATAGTTTCTCCATGAAATCCTAGTCGCCTCTGCTCCGACAGCAGATCCCAACACACCCTGTCAAGAGATGGGAACTTCAGTGTTCTTGCAATACAATCTTCCGGGCAAAAGAGCTTGAGTCCAAAAAAGCACGGCATGTAGAGGACATGCTACCGATGTCAGTCATGCCCCAACTGCCCGGAAAATGGGCATTGTAGAACATGCCGAAGCAGCTGACACGCTGCTTGTCCGTTTACAACTTGCAACGCCGATAGAACCCGAAAGCCCATCCGTCGAGGCTGTCGGAGTTCATCGAGGGGGCCGCAAGGCTGCGAGGCAGCGCTAAGGCCCGTGAGCTCCCAGGGTAAAAACCATAGGCTCATAAGTCTCCTAACATAGGTTATACGTACAGTTACCCTACCTATAACCCTACTTATAGCCCTCCATGAACCTCCAAGTAGGGTTTAGGGTTTAGGGCCTAAGGTTTCAGAAGCGACCTTGAGGGTCGCTTTGTCTTCAACAATACCAGACGGTTGCTATAATGAAGGTTGGGGTTTTCTTCCGGGACGCGAAACAAGTGGGTTTGGCGTTTTAGGGTTCTCAGACTGTGAGGTCTAGGGAGGGATTTTCAGGGTTCAGGTTTCATGGTACTGAGATTTTGGATTAGGGCGGCAGGGTTTGGTTCGGGGTTTTGGGGTTTAGAGCGTAAAGTTTTGAGACTTTCCAGCGAGGATTTTTAGACTGCGTGGCTTTGGATTCGCCGTTTTGGTGTTGAGGTTCAGGGTCTAGGGGTGCAACGTCCGAGGACTGGATTGAGCTATAAAGAGTTTTCAGAGGTTAGCGGCCTGTTGTTTCCACCGAGCCCACCGTCGGCTACTGGGTGTATTTTGGTGCAAGAGCCTCTGCCGTGTTCACAGGGTTTTTCTTACAAAGTTTAAAGTGCTTTTATAAGAGTCTGAAAAGGTATAGGGTTTAGGGTTGAGGGCCCTAAACCCTAAACTCTCCCTCAACCGTTACGGTAGTCCGGATGCCGCGAGGTGAAAACACACGAGGGTTATCAAAAAAAAGAACCCTAAACAGTATAGGAGTGAGTGAGCTCGTACCCCTTGTTTAGGAACGCCGCGTTGAGGATCCTTCTCTTTGGCCGCAGGATTGTTGATAGCTTTTGCCCATATCTTACAACTTTGGTCTTCTGACGAACCTGATTTTTAAAAAGGTTTTTGAGTTGTTTTCTTATCCTCACAAAAATCAGTACAATTCTTATTGGTATTAGGTTGTGTTGTACTACTGTGGTTATTGGTGAGACCAATATTAATATTGTTATTGCTATACTATTCATGGTTATTGCTATTATATCAGCATTAAGGTTTCTAAAAGCACTTAAGACAACCAACCCTAGCCCCTAAGCCCTAAACCCTAAAATCCCTAACCCTTAAACTACACCCTAAAACCTAAACCCCTAAACCCCTAAACCCTGAACCCCCTTAAACCCTAAGCCCCCTTAAACCCTAAACCCCGCCAAACCCTAAACCCTAAGCCCTAAAACCCTAAGCCTAAACCCTGAACCCTAAACCCTAAACCCTAAACCCCCTTCAACCCTCTACTACACCCTACACCCTATACCCCCTTAAACACTATACTTGGAGGGTCGGGGGACTTAGTAACTGGTTATTTTATGGACTTGTAAGTACCATAACCCCAATTAGGGTCCCTTTTAGGGTACTTATAAGTCTACTTACTACCTACTTACTAAGTCCCCCGACCTTCCCAGTACCCTTGGCTAGGCGCTGGACATTTGGCGAATCGAGACCAAGGCCCTCCCTAGGGTGCGCGGGAAATTTCGCTCCGAGGGGTCCTTCAACGATGTTTCCCTTCAGGGTTTAGGGTTCAGGGTTTAGGGTTTAGGATTAAGGGGTTTAGGGATTTAGGGCTTAGGGTTTACGGATATGGGGATTTATTTAGGGAATTCAGGGTTCAGGGTCTAAGGATATAGGGTTCAGGAAGTTCGATGAGGCTTCCCGATTTAGGGGTTTCAGGTTAGGGGTGTCGGGGGCTTCGGGTTCGGGGTGTAGGATGTGGGAGTTTCCGATTTTGGGGGTCCTTATAATAAGGGTCCTACTATTTAGGGCGCTGTAAAAGGGTCCCCTATGTTCGGCAACCCCCATGTAGTGTTTTGAGTCCAGGGTCCGAGGGTTTGATGAGGTTTAGCCGGTTGAGGGTTCGGATGTGGGTGGGGGGCCTGGTGCGGGTCTGCTGGCTTCTTGGCCATGCCGCACAACCCACACAAACTACTAAAATCCTGAACCCTAAACCCTAAACTCTTAAACCCTAAGCCCTAAGCCCTTAAACCCTAAAGCCTAAACCTTAAACCCTAAACCCTTAAACCCTAAACTCTAAGCCCCAAACCCTAAACCCTAAACTCTAAGCCCGAACTCTGTGGGTTGCAGCAGCTGATGTGGGAGTTTCCGAAAATAGGGGACCCTAATATAGTACCCCAAATATTAGGATCCTTATTGTCAGGACCCTTAAATATGGTACCCCTATTTTCGGAAACTCCCATGTAAACCCCTCGAGTTGATGGTCGAAAGTGGAACCCCAGGTCCGAACCAAGCCTCTTCCCTAAACCCCAAAACCTCTGTTAGGCTTTGGGTTTAGGGTAGGGTTTAGGGGTTTAGGGTTTAGGGGTTCAGGGGTTTAGGGGTTTAGGGTTTAGGGTAGAAGCCCCAAAAGTTCGAAACCCAATAGATTCTATCCTTAAGAGTGATGCCTAGGGAATCCCAGCACTATTTGGCTTTAATCCGGTTTCCAACTTTATGGGGCTTACTATAGCCCCTTCAACCGTCGCGTGGGATCAGGTGGAGGTCCTCTTTGAAGAGGCCTTGCTAGCGTGTTTGGGGTTTCGGGTTTACGGTTTCGAGTCTAGGGTTGCGGGAGTTTCGGGCTTCGCGGTGTAAGACTTCAGAGTTTGCAGCTGGCACCTAGCGCCTTGCAGAGGGTTCTAAGTTCTGTATTGGGTGGTTGTAAAAATTATGGTCCTTTTTTGGGTCCCTATTATAGTACGGCACCTATTATTTAGGGTACCCAATTAGGGACCCTAATTTTGACAACTACCCGTATGTGCTAGAAGCTGCCCCCACCCTGCAATAGTGACTATAAGGATTATATTAGGGCCCTATATCTACATCTATATACATAGATAAATAAAAATATATATATATATATATATATATATATATATATATATATATATATTTATTCCTATTATACCACTATTACAGGGTGGGGGCCCCTTCTAACATAGGTGCTTCGGCTCTTAAGCTGCCGGATTTACGACACGTCGTACCAAATGCTCGGGGCTGGTTCAAACGGTTGATGATATAAATCCTGCATGACCCATAATAAGGAATATACCAGAATTCCCATCTATTCCTTATTATGGGTAATGCAGGATTTATATCATCAACCGAAGGAACCCTAAACCCTAAACGCCAAACCGCTACTTAGAGGTGTCGCTGTAAGGGTTAAACCCTAAACCCTAAACCCTAAACCCCTAAACCCTAAACCCCTAAACCCTAAACCCTAAACCCTAAACCCTAAACCCTAAACCCCTAAACCCTAAACCCCTAAACCCCTAAACCCTAAACCCTAAACCCTAAACCCTAATGTGGCTTCCGGTTCAGTCAAGAACTTGAGCCCAGGACCCCAAAAGCCCTAAACCTCCAAGGGCTGAAACGCTAACCTGGTTTAGGGCTTAAAGGGAACTCCAGAAAGTTGGAATATGGATTAAGGGTAGGATCCCCTATAATTTACCATAAAGGGGTTAGGATAATCATATTCCAACTTTCTGGCTTCTACTGTAGGGCTTAGGGTTTGGGGCTTAAGGCTTTAGGGTTTAGGGTTTGGGTGCGGCTGCACCAGCCGTTCGCACCCCCGAGCTGGTGCTGCCGTTGCTTGGCTGAGTCTTTGTGTCAAGGTCTCGATTTGTGACCCGATGGTTGGGTTTTGGAAAATAGCTCAGGAACCCAACGACGCCGTTGACACCCCCGGAGTTGCGCTTGGAGTTGCGTGGTGAACAATGCTATCGACTTGGTCCTGGCCGGGTTTCTTCACGCATCGATGCACTGGCGAAGATAGTGAAGCAAACATTGTTTGAGTGGAACCTGATTAAGAAACCCTGGGCCTATAACCCCAAAATAATAGGATTATATAAGGAACCCTAATTAAGGCCCAAGGTTTCTTAATCAGGATTTCGGCGATCGTATGTGATCAACGCATCGACAAGACAACCTCTCGGAGGCGGCTATACCTTGGGCCCTAAACCCCAAACTCCCCCAAAATCCCAACCCTAAACCCTAAAGCCCTGAAACCCTAAAACCCTCCTGAACCCGAAACTAAGCCCTAAACTAAACTCCAGACGGGAGGCAGCCTTAATCCTAATTTGAGTTTGAGGTTTATGGGTTCTGTAGCGGGGTTTCTAAGGGTTTGACGAGGGCTTTGCACGTTTGATGGTTGAGTGTTATCATGGCTTTGTGAGCCTCATGAAGCTCTTAAAAGGGAGCTTGAGTAATATCCCCTTGCAGCTCGCATCTGATTTCTACGGTAGTAGCTCACACGCATTATTCTTTGAACGAGGCCCCAGGTTTATTGATCCCTTATCCGAAAAACTCTGATAGACGGTACTATTGGAACCTGCAAAGGCACCCTATAGTAAGAGTCGCCGGTATTAGGCTTTGGGTTTAGGGTAGGGTTTAGGGGTTTAGGGGTTCAGAGGTTTAGGGTTTAGGGGTTCAGGGGTTTAGGGTTTAGGGTAGAAGCCCCAAAAGCTGGAAACCCAGTAGCCTCAATCCTTAAAAGTATTGTATCGGGAATCTGAGCACTATTTGGCCTTCATCCGGTATCCAACATTTTGGGGTTTACTGTATTCTAGCCCTTAGATGAATCCCGACAACTGAAAACACCCTCAGCACCCAACCCTAAACCCAGAACCCTAAACCCTAAACCCTAAACCCTAAACCCTTACTATACCCTCCACCCCCAAGCCCGGTACCATAGGTGCTGAACGTGCTGTACCGGGTAGCATCGCCGGATACAGTGACGGAGATCAAGGTGAACGCAATACAGGCAGCCCAACCACATCCTTTGGACCCAGAGACTCCGACATCCCCTAACTAAGGAATAAATCTTAAATTATAGTAGGATCCCTTTTGTGAGTTAAGGTATGTTCCTTAATTAAAGGATGTTGGAGTCTCTGGGGACTTATAGGCTAGGTAGGGCTTTGAGACATTATATATTTTCCCTTATTATTGGGCTTAAGAGGATCTTATTTACTAATATTTTTCAAAAGCTTTAAAAGCCATGTAGTAGGGGTTTAGGAATTTACACGGCTTTCGGGTTGAGGGTACAGGTCATCGCGCCGGGCTCGAGTCTGCAGGGCTTTGAGTTTAGCGGTTTAGAGTTTCTAGGATGCCCAGTAGTACCCTTATTCCCTTTTTGTAGTCCTAGGTTCCTTATAAAGTTACCCAATACCAAAAAGAGAGGCCTTTTTATTCTTAGGTTACTGGGTATCCTAGGTTTAGTTTAGCGCATGAAGGCTCAGTGAAGGGTTTGTGGGTTTAGCGGTTTAGGGGTTCAAAGTTCAGGGGTTGAGGGTTTAGGGTGCTGTTTCAGGGTTTGGGTTTTAGTGTCTAAAGTTTAAGTGCTTCAGGGTGTATTCTCTGTCTCTCTCTCTCTCTCTCTCCCCCTCTCCGTCTCTTTCGCTTTGTATCTACGATCTACTTATATCTCTGTGCATGTAGATACCTTCAGGTACAAATCAGGGTTGGTTACGACTGAGGACTTAGGACTCAGGGGCAAGTTGTTCTGCCTGTCTATCTGCCTATCTGTCTATCTACCTCTCTACTTCTCGACCTATCTACCTACCTGCCTATCTATATATCTGTCTACCTATCGGTCGATCGATCTATCATTCTATCTACCCATCTACCCATCTGCCTCATCTACCTATCTATGTACCTACCTAGAATCGATTTAGCTATCTCTCAGTTTGTTTTTATTTGCCGTGCCTATCAAAGTAAAACTCTCTCGCTGTCTGTCGGTGTACCTGTCTATCATCGTCGTTTTGTCCACTTATCTATCTATGTATCGATCAATCTGTCTACCTCTCTGCCTCTCTACCTATCCGCCGTCACCGATCTGCCTATCTACCTATCTACCTCTCTACCTCCCCACCGTCACCTATCTACCGTCTACCTTGCTGCCCATCTACCGACCTACCCACCTGCCGCCTATGTGTCTATCTCTCTGTCTGTTTGCCTGCCTCTTTGCTCTATCTATCTATCTATCTATCTGCCTATCTGTCTATTTATCTGTCTACCTATCTGTCTACTGATTGTCTGTCCGTTTATCCTTGGTACGTCTGTCGGCCGTCTATCTGTCAATGTGTCTGTCTGTCCATCTACTAGGATGCCCAGTAGTAAGGGCCCTTAATCCTTTTTGGTAGTCCTAGGTTCCTTATAAAGTTACCCAACACCAAAAAGAGAGGCCTTTTTGTTCTTAGGTTACTGGGTATCCTAGTCTATCTTCTCTCCGGTTATCGGTCTGCCTGCCGATCTATCGAGCGATCAACCTATCCTCTAGCTAGCTGTCTGTATACACAAAATCCACGCGGATGTAGGACACAGTGCTACATGATTACCATTGCTATTTTGGTGGTTCCTTATTACTCTGCTTTTCTTATTTGTGTTATCATTCTTATTATTCTGGTTTTCTTCTTATTCTTACTGTCTTATTTTCTTAATTTTCATTTTTAAGGCCCCCAATAGTAGCGATCGGGATGTCGTCTGGAAAGCTTGAGCTTCGACCCGGAAGTGAGGGTTTGGGGTTTACGGTGTGGCGCTCTGCCTTTCCTGGGGTTTAGGGTTTCGGGTTCAGGGTTTAGGATTCAGTAGGGTTTAGGGGTTGCAGGGGTTCAGGGTTGAGGGGTTTAAGGGTTTAGGGTTAAGGATTAAAGTTGCAAGCTTTGGGTCTAGAGCGTCTAGGGAGGCAAGCGCGGAGCATTTGCAACATGTCATGGTAGTTGCTGCCCCTACACACCCGAAGCCCCTAAACTCGTAAACCCTAAACCCTTAAACCCCAAACCCGAAATGCGATACCCATGCAGACCTGATCCGAACTCTCCACGCCCTGTCATGTGCGGGCCCTGCGTCATTAATTCTGTTTCTCCAAGTCGCCTAAAGTACTTGTAAGGTACGAAAGCTTGCCAGACGTTCGTCTAAAGACTTAGGCTGGCTGGTTTACCTGCCCGAACACCTCCAAATCCTGATCCCGAAGTACGTCTTGAACAGGATGTCTTCGACAACTCTGTTTTCCGCCACATCAAGAGCGTCTTGGTGTGTGAACTGCCCACCTTAAACCCGTAAGCCCGAAGCCCTAAAAGCCGTAAGCAACCCTAAACCCTAAATCCCGAACCTTGAATCGTTGAACCCAAGACTTTAGGCCTTGGGGTGTTGAAAGCTTCTGCCGACACACTGTTCTTCTTGAGCGAAGCTCCCGGACCTAAGCCTCAACCCTATACCATCCTAGATGTAGGGACCTTAATAGTTAGAATAGGGTTTTGAGTTCCGTTATAGTATAATTATAATGAGGAGCCCTAAGGACTAATATTGGTAAGGAATAATATACGAAGTTTCTTAGGATTCCATATGAGGAAGCCCAAAACCTAAGATTGCCAAGGCAATGCCAAGGGCCGTGTCCTCTCACCCATGCCGGAGGGAGATGAAGAGGAGGAAGACGCTTTCGGCAAGGCCATTCATCTGTCTGGTTCTTAGTAGGGAATAAGGGAATGGATTATGGAGACCATTATTGGGCCTACTGTAGGGATCCATTCCTCCATTCCGTATCGAACACCAGACAGTCATTTAGGATTCCGTTCTTGGGGCCTCGACTTACCCTAAACCCTGACTAAAACCCCAAACCCTCAACCTTCAACCCTAAACCCTGAACCTTAAACCCTCAACCTTAAACCTTCAACCCTAAACCCCAAAAACCCCTGAACCCTAAACCCCAAACCCTAACGGCTCCTGAACTCTAACCCGAAACCCGACGAAACCGTGCTATTTTGGCACCCAAGCCCTCTACCCCGAACACCGGAGTCGAACTCGTACTCCCTCGATCACTGACTCCAGTGCAGAGTTTTACTGTTCAGGATTTACTTGGACCCTGAAGAACCTACCTTTGAAAGGACTTCTTTAAGGAAATCTTAATAAGGAGTCCTACAACTGGTAGGTTCTTTATGGTCCAGCTAGGTTCAGAGAGTTCGGTTTTGGGTGCAAAAGCCTTGAGGGATTTGGGGTGCAGGATTCTGGATTCTGGGGTTTCGGCCAGGGCTCTACGGGTTAGGGTTTAGGGCTTCGGGTTTAGGGTTTACAGTTTAGGGCTTGGGGTTTTGGGTTTCCAGTTTAGGGCTTCTGGTAGGGATCCTTAAGATGAAATTGCGTAGTCCTAGGTAGTACTAGGGGGACCCCTTATGAAAGGGGACCTTTCTTAAAACTATTTCTGGCTCTCCCAATGAAGACCTTATTGAGAGGGTCTATATCCCCAAGGGCCCATTTGAGCCCAACTCCCCGGAGACTCCAGTATCCCTTAATTCAGAAATATACCTGACTTAAATTATAGTAGGATCCCTATATGTGATTTAGGGAGTATTCCTTAATTAAGGGATATCGCAGTCTCTGCGCCCTACGTTTTAAGGGTTTCTGGTAGGGACCCTTATGCTGAACCTTAAACCCTAAATTTTAAACCCTAAACCCTGAACCCTAAATCTTAGACCCTAAATTTTGAACCCTAAACCCTAAGCCCTAAATCTTAAGCCTTAAACCCTAAGCCCAAAACTTTGGACCCTAGCCTAAACCCTAAACCCCATTTGAAGGTGGAGACCTCCCGGTCCTCGCCGCGGTTGTGAGCATCGTTGGATTTTGCCAGCCCCAGATTTGGTGTGCCTGGTGTGCGTCCGGCACATCCCGGGGATAATCTATCGGAGGGTTCCTTCTGCGGTATGGGGTTTAGGCTTTCGGGAGTCTTGCAGTAGTAGAGCAGTTTTGATTCAAGCACTTTCAAATCTTGTGAAGGAAGGAACCTCTATTTTTCAAGCGCCCTGGCAGCCCAAGAAGAGCGGGAACTGTGTTTGGTTGCTGTTGCTCTTCCAAAACATCCGGTTCGGTAGTTCGGTTCAGCCTACCTGTAGGACGCAGCAAAGAGGTGTCGGATGCAGGTTCAGGATTCGTTCTCAGGCTCGTGGACGAAAGTGTTAGGGTGTAGCATTTACCTCAAAATGCACGAAGCTCCGAACTCCTAAACCCTAAACCTCAAGTCAGTTTCTTGGAGCTGTGGGCATGTCTGTCATGCTATCCCAAAGACGGGAAACAGCGTGCAATGTCCGCGCAAGGCTACGGCTATACGGCTCAGAAGGTACGTAGACTCTCGTTTCTCAAGGTTTCCTCAATATTGGTCCAATATTGGTATGATTATGACAATGATTGTGATTATGAGGACAAATATTATGATTGTCATGACGATTATTAGCATTATCACGACTGTTGCGACTTTTTACTTTCTAATGATTAGGGCTGTTATATCATTACTATTATGACTTATGATAATTCCTATGTTTACCATCATTAAGATTACAACCGTTATTGTTATTTCTATCACTATCACCATTACTAATGTCATTAATATCATTGCAGCTATTTCTTTACCTGTGACATGCGAGCTTTCTAAGGCCGAGTACCTCAAGTCTGCGGCACAGAGCCCTTTCCATGCTTGGACGACACCATCCCAAAGGCTTGACTCCCAGTTGCGAAGGTAGGGTTTCGGGGGTCTAGGGGTTGAGGGATTTAGGGGTTCAGGGTTTAGGGTTTAGGGTTTAGGGTTTAGGGGTTTAGTGTTTAGGGTTCAATTTAAAAGTCTCAAGTTACCCTTGTTGAAAACAGGGCCGCGGCCTACCGTTCTGCGTGGCTTTCCCTTTTGTTTTACAGCGCCGCTGTTCAACGCCGAGACCAACGTCCCAAAGTAGATAAACCCAAAGCCCTCAACCCCCCAAAGTAGGGTTTAGACATGGTCTTGGTGAGTACGTCTGGCCGCTGGGGAATGTTGGTGCGTGTGTACTTGGGGCGTAATTGTGGGAAGACAGGAAACACGTAAACCTACCGCCCCCTCCAACAAACATGCGTCAGAAAGAAAAGAAAGCTACCAAGTGCTTTTGGCACACGATAAGAAAGTGTAGAATCACGTGGCCAGTGAAGTTGGATTTGGAGTTATGGTTCGCGCTACCCCAGCATTACCTCACAACAGCGGACCGGCGTTGAACAAGAAGATGGTGGTGCTCAGCAGGGGTGCTGGGTTTTGCCGGGTACAAGCCGAATCTTGTGCCTGTCGAAGTTCTGAGCCCTGTGCTCATCCGGATAACTTGAAGGTAGCCGGGGTTTCAGGCCACAAGCAAAGCCTCTCCCCCAGTTTTTACGGCTCTATCTTCTCAAACCCCCAAGTGGCCATGATACGATATGGCCGATAGGGGGTTAAATAATTGCCAATACTATTTTGAGGGTTCCTGCTTATAACTATAGTATAAGGGGCCCCCAAACCCTATTGCAATGATGAAGGCCGCAAGAGTACTCTTGGCTTTCGGGGAGCACTAGTGATGCCGAAGTTGAGGTCCCTCCTCAGGTATAGTTAGGATGCCCAGTAGTACCCTCATTCCCTTTTTTGTAGTCCTAGGCTCCTTATAAAGCTACCCAATACCAAAAAGAGAGGCCTTTTTGTTCTTAGGTTACTGGGTATCCTAGACATAGTAACCTGATTGCTATGGTGGTCGGAACACTCCCAGAGACTCCAATATCCCTTAACTAAAGAATATACCTTAAATTGTAGTAAGATCCTTAACATGATTTTGGGAGTATTCCTTAATTGGGGGATATTGGAGTCTCTGGGCTTACTGCTAGTTAGCATTCTCATAGCTCATAGCCCCTAATCAGTCATTCGAGAATATACCCCCCTCCAAAAGCATCCTTTTTGAAAATTATGGCAACTAAATCAATAAGAGCTCCCTATATATGGTTTAGGGGGTTAGGCTTAGAGCTCCTTATCCTTTTATGGGCTAGACTAGGAGGTCCCCTGTTCAGGGCTGGACAGAAATTTCCTGCTCCGACTCCGAGTTCTTAGATGTGCTTGTGAAAGCTGAGGTACGCTTCCGGTATCCCAGGTTAGGGTTTAGGGTTTAGGGTTTGTTTAGGGTTTAGGGTTTAGGGTAAAACCTCAAGAACCTTGTATTTAGTGCTTTAGCACTTTGTGCTGAATGTTGCAGCAGGTGTTGCGAGCGTGTCCCATAAATCCCGACCGCTGCATCGTAGGACGAATCGCAGATCCTCAACCGCTCAAAACCCTAACCCGGGGCCTTAAATCGTGAGCACCACAAGTCAACGCCTCAACCTTGAGTCCTAAGGACATGAGCCCGAAGCCCTGAGCTCTAATTCAACACCTTAAACTAACCTAAACCCTAAGACTCCCTAATCATAGGAGGCCAAAAGGGGTTTTAGCCTATGGGGGTTTAGTAGTAATTAAAGTTCCCATAGTAGGGTTCATATTATGGAATCCCTACCCCAAGAATTTTAAACCTCCCTTTTTGGCCTCCCATCAAATAATTACCGATACTATTCGGGGGCTTCCTTAATATAGTGATAATAAGGAAGTAATATAGAACCTACTATAGATCCCTATAGACCTCACCTAAGACACACGCCTTACGGTAGACCTGGGGACCTCGACTTTCGCACCTCGCCCTGCCGGATGTTCACCCGCCACAGTGTGCTCTGTCTCAACGCCGGAAGAAAACCCTAAACCCTAAACCCCAAACCCCAAAACCCTAAACCCTAAACCCTAAACCCCAAAACCCTAAACCCAAAACCCTAAACCCCCTAAACCCCCTAAACCCCTGAATCCTAAACCGTGACCTGGTAAACCTTTGGGTGCTTCTCTAAACTAGGGTCCCGTTCAGGGTCCCTTTTATACCCATGTAGCCGTACGACGAGTATTTGGGCACTTAAAAATTGGATCTGATTCAGAGAGCCACAGATGTACTCCCCAAAATCCTTACCTACATTACGACGGCCCTTAACCCTAAATCCTAAACCCTAAACCAAAAACCCTATAGTAGAAGCCAGAAAGTTGGAACATCATTCTCCTGATGCCCTTAATGACAACTTATAAGGGATCCTAGCACGAATCCTCCTAAAGCCATGTTCCAACTTTCTGTCTTCTACCTTAAACCCTAAAACCCCAAACCTAAACCCTGAAACCCCAAACCCTAAGCCCCTTTACAGAATCCTTATACATCCCTTTAAGGAACCCCTATACTAAACCCTAAACCAAAAACCCTAAAGGGGATCTTTGGACCCCCTGTCCCTGGACTTGACAGCATTAAACAGCAAAGCCTACAGCAGCTTTTTGGTGCTCCAAGTACCCATGCCCTGAACCCGTCCCACAGGATCCATGTAGGTGCAGAAAGCAGAATAGTAATAGAGGAGCTTTTTAATGATTACCTGTACTATTTTGGGGGTTCCTTGCTATAAATGCAGTACAATGGGCCCCAAAACCCTATTCTAATTATTAAGGCCCACCATAGTAATGATCCCTAATATAGACGCCCGCGCTAGGACCCTTTCTTTCGGCCAAAGTGCGAACGCCACCTGGTATTTCTGAATTCGAAACCAAATATTACCGAGACGTGAACCCTAAACCCTGAAACCTAAGCCAAAGCCTAGAGAAGTGTGCTTCTACCAGAATCAACACCCAGTCTTCATCCCATATCCCGACGGAAGCTTCGGCCGCACCTCCTCGAAATCTGATGGCTTTTGAGCAGTATAGGGTCTTTAGGTTTCCGGGGGTATACGGTATGCATCCTAGACTCCCATGAAGTTCTAACAGGGTTTTAAAACAGCCTGAGACAGACCTGCAGCTGCCAAATGGCACCATGCAAAGTGGGGGTTGTTCCAAGTAATATGGAGGTTTCCTTACTATAAGTATGCAATACTGTACCCACAGTACAAAGTCCTACAGAATGTGCAGTGGGACGTAAGCCTTAGACATTAAACCGAAATCTTATTGAACTCAATACTTCAGAAGAAACACCGATGTAGAACAACCCCCGACACGCCCGTCGACTATCCAACAGAGATTTTGGCAGCGGTGCTGGTTTTCAGGATGAGGATGGGGGATGTAAGGACATGGCTTCACCTGTAGGATCTACTTGAAGCATTTGGCGGCAATCTAACAACCTCGCTTACACACGCTACTTGCTGAGCTCTTTCACCAATGAAGTGGCCACAGGCTTTAACTCCGAAAGCGCTACACAATATGCAACCCCAGCTCCTGAAATCGCAATGTTGCCCAAGAGTTACTCCTAAACCCCTGAACCCCAAAGCCCTAAACCCTATAGTTCCCTGTAAAGGAACCCTTATAGTACCCTTGAAAGGAACCCTAAGCCCCCAAACCCCTAAGCCCCTGTTAAGTAGTTGGGTCCAGGAACTTGTCAATGCCTCGTGTAGATCCTAAGTCATTGATGTTTGAAACCTACGGTTGATGATATAAACCCATTACCTTGATTTCCCTAAGCTGTAGGAATACTGGAATACCTTATTATGGGTACTGCAGGATTTATATCATCAACCGCATTGCAGGTTTTATCGTGTTTTTTGCGCCTGGATTCGCAGGGATTGGAGTGTTCTGCTTGCAGCACCCGTGTGGTGTTGTCTTCGGAGATGCATGGGCCCCTAAACCCTAAACCCTAAAACCCTAAAACCCTAAACCCTAAACCCTGACCCTAGACCTTAGGCCTGAATTTATTATCCTAGACCTTAGCCCTGAATTTATTATACTATGAAAGTATGTATCAGTTTACATTGCGGG